ATGTGTCCCATCTTCTATGAGGGACAAAATTGTCTTTCTTGTAACTCTAAGTTTTATGAATAAAATTCAAGTGGGTCGGCTAGGAGAGTGATTTTTCACATTCTCTCTTCTAGTCTGGCCGAATACTCTTCTTCTCTCCTTCTTCTTCTTCTTTCTCTTTTCTTTCTTCTTTCTTCTTCTCTACTTTGACCTAGAATCAACTAGGGTTTATTCACAACTCCTTTGATGACTTAAGGAGAAACTGGGCAGCAGTGGCTTCTACAGTCTTCACAAAGAACAAATCACAATCTGAATGGGAATCCCCACCAGATGGAGTGGTAAAACTGAATTTTGATGGTAGCTGCCAAGGTAACCCAGGGCCATCTGGAATAGGAGGGATTTTGAGAGACAAAGATAGCAACATGGTGTCTTTATTTTCAGGACCAGTGGGTGTTGGTGATTCTGTAAGGGCAGAGATACTAGCAGCGGTACAAGGTATATAGATGGCCAGTCAACTTGGAGTGAATAATTTAATAGTAGAAGGGGATTCCAAGGTAGTAGTGAGCTGGTTGACAAGTCCAGAGACAACTTGTTGGGGCTACAGGGATCTGTTAAAGAAAGTTAAATGGCTGACAAGGAATATGTCAGTCAGGTTTCAGTGGGTCAGCAGGTCAGCAAATGCAATGGCTGATTCTTTGGCCAAGCAAGGGATGTCAATGGAGATCTGTTTTGGGCCACTTTGTAACTGTGCTTCAGGCTTGTGTTTATTTAGTGTTTATTTATTTATTTATTTTTGATCAATGTTTGTTTAGTGTTTATGACTCAGTCCTAGGGGGAGGTAACACCATGTGCCTCTCCCTAGGCTGAATGTACTGCTATTTTCTGAATTAATAAAACTACTCTCATTTATCAAAAGAAAAAAATGACAAGGTGGAAGTTTATCTCAGTTGGAGACAAACAATTGTGCCCAGTCTTAATATGCATAAGCATATTTTGATGGTTTACCAGTTTGGTTTTTTGCTTGAGTTTATATATAAATGGGTCATGTTATGTATTAATGATGGGATTGGAAATAGGGACACTGACATGATAAATTAAGTTATTTTAATGCAATAAGTACACTAACCTGATGGGAAAAGGCTCTTTCAATGCAAGCAGGGACAGGCTAATCCTAAAGGGTTTCAGCAGTAATTTAGTAAATATCAATGTTGTAAGACTTGGGCTGTTCATCAAAATGGAAAAGCCATTGGGTCATGGTCAAGTAGTTCAACCACTGGGTTGACCCTGTGACCCATGATGTCATATATAAATATAATATTTTATATATACTATAACATGTGTATTGCCTGTCGTTTAATGGTCATTTTTCTACTCTTTGTTCAAGTGATTGAGGTTCTAGTCTTGTAAATGAACACAGGTGGTGTTGTTGCTTAATGGTACTATTTAAATCTTTGTAAATAGGAGGTTGTGAGTTCAAGTCCCCTAATTATCAGTTTATACAATGAAGTAGTGACCTTGGTGGGTTGTTTAAAACAGGCTTGGTCACTAAATTTCAGCCAGGTTTTAATGGTTTGATTGTGTTAGTAGTGAGCCATAAGGTTTTTGGGAAAAACTAAAAACTTGTGAAAATGCAGCGATGTTGTCAATTGTTGAGTTGGGCCTAGTTGTTTTTTATTCTGGACAACAAGGTACAGGGCCATGGCACATGAATACAGACCTATGGTGTTGATTACTTAGAGACCTTTGCACCGGTTGCAAAGATGACCTCTGTTTGGATACTTCTTTCTCTTGCTGCCTCATACTCTTGGCCCTTGTTTCAATTTGATGTGAAGAATGTTTTCCTAAATGGTGATCTGCAAGAGGAAGTGTATATGAATCTTCTTGCTGGTTTTTACAGTGATACTGAAAAGGGAAAGGTATGCAGGCTTAAGAAGTCACTTTATGGCTTGAAACAATCTCCCAAAGCATGGTTTGACAGATTCAGAAAGGCCTTGATTGCTTTTGGATACACTCAGACTCAATCCGATCATACCTTGTTTGTGAAGCGTAGGGGATCTTTGGTGTCAGTCCTAATTGTTTGTGGATGATATTGTTGTTACGGGGAATGACCTAAGTGAGATTGATTGTTTGAAAAGGAACCTACATAAAGAATTTGAAATTAAGGATCTTGGAGAACTGAGATACTTCCTAGGCATTGAAGTTGCAGGATCAAAACATGGAATTTTTATCTCTCAAAGGAAGTATGTCTTGGATCTTCTTCAAGAGATGGGGAAGCTTGGAACGAAGGCAATCAATACCCCTATTGATCAGAACCATAGAATCAATGCATCAGGAGGTAAACCAGTAAAGGACATTGGGAGATATCAGAGACTTGTGGGTTAGCTGCTATACTTGTGTATGACAAGACCAGACATTTCCTATGCAGTAAGTGTAGTAAGTCAATACATGCATGCTCCACGAGTCCAGCATTGGGAGGCAGTTGACAGGATTCTTGCTTATCTAAAGGGACACCCAGGCAGAGGCATATTGTTTACTG